TCACCAACCTTCTTTGGAACGAAACAGCGAGGATCAGATTCAGGCAAATTTACAAGGACTATCCAAGCAAAGGATGAAGATGAGGTGGTGGACGGAGAAGATGAAGAAGAGCATGGGGATACTTTGTGTAGGGCCTGTGGGGAGAACTATGCTTCAGACGAGTTCTGGATCTGTTGCGACATCTGCGAGAAGTGGTTCCATGAGAAATGAGTGAAAATTACTCCTGCGAGGGCTGAGCACATCAAGCAGTACAAGTGTCCCTCTTGCAGCAACAAGAGAGCGCGCACTTGATATAGCCGGTGCCGTGCCCATAAGCACTCTCCCCTTCATAGTAGTTCTGTTAGGTTGGTCTATGCTAATTGTTCTCGGGTCGTCAAGTTTTCACATCATGCCTGCGCGACGCCACATTGTACCAAACATTTGGTGTTGGGAACCTTCTCGTCGGGGATAACATTTGTAGGTAGCAGGATTTAAGCCTTCACTTAATTCTAAATTAGGAGTTATTTGTACTTTCAGTTGGAAAACAGTTTGTTCTTCCATTGCGTAACATGTTCTCCTTCTCTCTCTCATTTTCTGGTGCTGGTTCTCCAATGACAACCTGTAGGATGAGGTGCGAACCCACGTAATTAGCTTCCCTTGTATCGGCGGTGCACTTTTCTTTTCCGAGATTGTCCATGGCACTCACTGTCTTTGAACATTATATGTGCGCAGGACATGTTATATCTGAAAAACATTAAACTTGGCAAGGGATCTGTATTAAGTCTTGTGTCGATAAATATGGGACGATACTCGGTGGCAGTAATTCTCTCAACAATGGTCGAGGGTGCCACTTCCTTCTCTAGATCGCCCTTGGCACTGTTGGTACTCATTGCCCTCGCTTTGTTGGAGAAACATAGTGGTGATGGTACATGTGCAAGACATGTTTTGGTGGGAAACATGCGAGGGATCTCGTGCACATTTTTGACTTTGTGTTGAGGAAACACGAAATGGTTCAGGTGGTTGTAGTCTTCTTAACATGTCGGTGATGTTCTTAGCATGTTCTAGTAAGTTAGCGTTTGTATCTTCCGTTATCGAGCTAGTAGCTTTCTAAGCAGATCGAGTGACACTATCGAAACATCATGCACCCGAGGTGCATTCAAGAACTCTCGTTTCCCTTGAGACACAACGGCGGATGATGCATTTCAAGTTGACAAGAGGGGTTCTATTGTCCGGGATCACGGCATCGGATCGAATTCGCCTTTTAGGGTCAATAAATTAATCGTCACGGGACCATAGCGAATCTCGTGCCAAGAGACATGTTAAAATTAACGACAAAAACCAAAGAAGCTTATCATCACTTTTTCGGGGGTAATCAACTTAAATTTGAAGCAAAGGCTGCTTCACAAATTGGTGAAAAGCGGACAGCATTAAGCATAGTGTGGATGCTTTGGTGGATTCATTAAACTAATGTTTGCTTGAAGATCAAAAGCCCTCAGCCATCGGCATTTTTCACTCGGATTGGCTCTTTGAATGTGATTTATTGTATGCTTCTGCGATCAATCGTGGACCACGATTAGCAGGGAGAGAATCCAGTCTTATGCTTGCTTAGCTTGAACTTGTCATCTTTTGGTTGGACGAGGGTTTCGTACACAAAAGATCGATCTCTAGCCACTACCATAGCGCCCGATGCGCGTCTGCGTTCATCTAAGTCGATCATCACATGTGAAGCTATCATAACGAACAGAAGTAAGCATGATGATTTTGGTAGATGGGAATGTCGTGCGCGTGGCTTTCGTGTTATGGCAAGACAATAACGACTGAGTTTTAGATTGATTAGGGGAGCTAGCACCATCTCATAAATTGCGTATGCAAATAGAAGAAACCCACAAATGTGGATGCTCTTTTGGTCTTTTGCTGAGATGTCCAAAGAGGAGTGATATTCATGGAAAGGAACAACTAAAGAAAAAAGAAGAAATAAGTGCATTAAAAGTCTTAAAATTTATCAATAAAGTGTAATTGAATACCAAAACTTACAAAAAGTGTAATCAATAGCTAAAACTTGTCGAATTAGTGCAAGCAAGGCCTTTTGTGAACTCCGTCTAATTAGATTAACGGAAATATTGACATGGTTTTTTTTTTCTCTCTCTCCTATGTGACTTGTTTTATTATTAATTTATCTTTCCTACGTGGCATTGACCTTACTAAAACATTAAATATTAAATTAAAATGAGGCCGTTTTGGCCTAAAACCTAACTCTTTTAACCAAAATCTTAGTTAAATTAAATTAAAAAATAAAAAGGTAATTTTTAAAAAAACACAAAAAAGAAAAAAAGAAGGTGACGATGGGGGGGTCGTAGAGGCCCTGCCAATTTTAATTTAAAAAATGGGTTAATACCATGAAAAAACCCCAAACTGGAACACACGTGGTAAATTTACCCCAAACTAATCTTTTGATCACCAAAAACCCCAAACTGGTACACATGTGACAAATTTACAATCCATTAGTTTATGTTAAATTTGACCGTCAAATTGCCAAGTTGGATAACATGTGGCAGTTGACGGGCATACCGGTTTGGAGTTTTACCCCTCCATTTGTCACAGGTTTACCAGTTTGTGATTTTTTGTGATATTAATCTAATTTAACGGAGAGTAAATTTGTCACAAGTGTACTAGTTTGGGGTAAATTTATCAAAGATTTACCAGTTTAGGGTTTTTGTTGGTAAAAAAATTAGTTCGAGATAAATTTGTCACATGTGTACTAGTTTTGGATTTTTCGTGATATTAACCCTTAAAAAATTAGGATTTAGGCCAAAATGACGTTGTATTAGTCTTATAGTTCATGTTTTACTAAGGTCAATGTCACGTAGGCAATAGAAATTACTAAATAAAAGTCACGTAGGATAGAGAAAATGATAATAAAAAAAATAGCCACGTCAATATTTTCTGTTAGTCCAATTGGATAAAGTTAACGGAAGGACTCGATTGCAATAATTTGACCAGTTTTGGGACTTGATTGCACGAATTTGATAAATTTTAAGACTCAATTATATTTTCGTAACAAGTTTTAGGGTTTTCAGTGCACATATCCATAAAAGAAAGGTTAAAAGAGGCCCACAAAAACCCAAAAGAAATTGAAACAAAATGGGTCTCGACACTCGGCAAAATCACAGAAGTGGCATAACTCTTCCCCTACTTGAATTATCTTAAAAAAAATTATAAACCCGTTTTATTCGGAATCGTTTTTATTGGTAGCAAGAGTACATTTTCCACGATCGAAGATAATATATCTCAAATTCGATCCGGCATGAGTACACAAAGTCGCAATAATTCGCTCATCGTGTGATTTGACCCCACTTCTTAAAAAAATGAACTGAGGGGTTGGAATAAGCACATTTAAATATTCCTTAAAACTTCGTGGGATCCCCTCCCCACTTCACATGGGAAGGCCCTCCTTTCGGCCCCCGTTAGTAGGATCGAAACTAATGGCATAAGATCATGTCGACAGTACTACGATTTTATAAAGGGCGATACCATTCGCACGACGAAAATGACAAGAAAGAAGAAAAGGAATACCGAAAATTCGAGTGGCCGAAACTGAAGCGTCTTCTTTCCAAATGGCGTGAATCATACGACAATCTGTCCGCGTCTCTTCTTCTTTTCCGAGACATTGAGCGGGAGCCTTTCGTTCATGGGCGAGAGACACACGCTGCGACTGGGAGTGACCGCAGTCTCTTTTGTCCTGAGCGGACCACGCATTCCTCAGTCAAGCAAAATGAGGTGCACGAACGAGGAAATGTGAAAGCGACGACTATATTTCTTTCGTCGGGTTGAGTACTTGGAAGGTGCATGCCTTACGGTTGGTGAGGTCGGTCAAACGTTTAAAAGATAATCTAGTACCGGGGCCACTTGCCTAGAAACATGAACAGTCTTTAGAAAATTGGAAGATGCTTTCAGCTCGAGCTGCTGACTCTGATAAGAAGTAGTCGATTCTTGACGAGTTTGGGCTCAGCGCGATGTACTTGCCTTGGCATTGTCGTTTATCCGGTATAAACGTTTGACGGCCGGCAGCTACATTGGCTACGGAATGTTGAGCTTGAGCCGTAACTACTCCGTATTGTCCTCGACCCGAATGTTCGAGGTTGGCAAGCACGTCACTGTCACCATACGAGGGATATCGTAATGCGTGATTAAGCAAGTCTCGCGACATGGAAGTCCCGTGAAAGAGACTGTCTGAAGAATTGCAAAAGCAGGAAAGTTTATAATATATAGACAAATCAAACCAAGATAGTTTCGCCCCTCAAGTTTCCACAACCTAAGTGTCATTTACTTAGAATTGAGTCAAACAAGTAATCAACCCAGACATAATGTAACTCCCATTAATGTGTACTAGTCCAAGAGTACACCTAGGTATTGGTCGAGTGAAGAACGGTGGAAGGCCGGGGTTAATGAGGAATCATTGTGTTTTTCATGATCTAGTCCTTAAGGTTATGAAGAGCCAAATCTTCAGCTTGAGGCTGTTATGAAAGCGAAACTCCAAGACCGTACGGACGATTTTCCGATGTTGAGATTGAGAGATACATCTTGAGCCGATTTAAAAATGAGTAATTCATGTTGAGTTACAGATATTACAAGTCATATCTCACGGTAGTCATGAACGGTGGTCAATCTAATCATTAGGGTCGGTTCATGCTCAAGCCGCAATTTCTAAAACCAAAGTAGCGATTATTACACGGTCTACTGACGACCATGGACCGATATTATCCAAACGACCGATCATCCGAACTTCGTCGTGGGACTTTCAGGACCGATGATCAACGAGAATTCGGCCTGAATGGTCTACAGACCCACCAAAGAAACCACGGGGAAGCTTCAAGAAGCTAAGAACTTCCGTGCACCTCGTGTGCGTTTGTCATCTCGCATGGCATGGATCGCATGGCCAATGTCTTGGACCGAATGGAGAGTGTGGCAATGTCTTCTCGAGTCAAACTTGTGTCTGCCCTCAACCTAACCAACGCAGGCCCCAATCTTGAAGGATAATACCCCAGAAATTTAATGTAACTTTCCACTCAATTTCCAAGCAAAGCCCTCGATTCCCACTCACACAATTTCTCACCTCCTTTCTCTCGTGACTTGGCCCCATTGACGCAGCCCTTTCCCACTTACCGACTCTGTCTCTCTGTCTCTCTCTACGTTTCACTACTATATAAATACCCTTCCCTCGCTCACCACTTCCCTCCCAAACTCAAAGCAAGAAGCAAATCTCACTCACTCACCCAAGAAGTGAAAAGGCCCATTTCCACCTTGATCTTGTTTTCCATCTCAAATCTCTTTGCCTTCTTATTCTTTGTAACATGGCCACTTGTGTTGGAAATGCCTGTGCCAACGAGACCCTCGTTGTCCCTTTTGTGCCAACCCCAGTCCATTGGAACAAGGCTGCTCAATCCCTCCAATGCACCCACTTTGAGGAGGTCGTGAACATGGTGTCCCAATTTGAGGACGCCGAGTTAGTTGACATCCAGGGCACGACCCTCTCCGTGGCCCAGGTCACCGCCGTGGCCCGGCGGAACGAGGTCGAGGTGCAGCTCAACGAGGTTGCGGCCCGGGACCGCGTCTCGAGGAGCGCCGATTGGGTCGCCGAGAACATCGCTTGCGGCCGGGACATCTACGGTGTCACCACAGGCTTCGGCGCCACGAGCCACCGGAGGACCAGCAAGACCTCGGACCTGCAGACCGAGCTCATCCGGTTCCTCAATGCCGGGGTGATCGGGAGAGAGAATCTCCCGCCCAGTTACGCCAAGGCGGCCATGCTGGTGCGGGCAAACACGCTCATGCAGGGCTATTCAGGCATCCGGTGGGAGATACTTGACGCGATGGCCAAGCTCATGAACCAGAACTTGATCCCCAAGTTGCCCTTGAGAGGCACCATCACCGCCTCAGGCGATCTTGTGCCGTTGTCTTACATTGCCGGATTATTGACCGGCAGGCATAATTCAAAGGTTGTCACTCCAGAAGGAGAAGAGATTTCGGCGGTCGAAGCATTGAGGAGAGCCGGAATTTCAGGCCCATTCGAGCTGCAAGCAAAAGAAGGCTTGGCTCTTGTGAACGGGACCGCCGTCGGGTCAGCAGTGGCTGCCACGGTCTGCTTCGATGCCAACATTTTGGCCCTCTTGGCAGAGACTCTCTCCGCCATGTTCTGTGAAGCAATGCACGGAAAGCCCGAATTTACAGACCCTCTCACTCACCTGCTCAAGCACCATCCAGGCCAGATCGAATCAGCCGCCCTCATGGAATACCTCCTAAACGGAAGTGACTACATGAAAGAGGCGACGCTCCGCCACGAGAAAGACCCGCTCACGAAGCCAAAGCAGGACCGCTACGCACTTCGAACTTCTCCTCAGTGGCTTGGGCCGCAAGTCGAAGTTATTCGCGCCGCAACTCACTCTATTGAGAGGGAAATCAATTCCGTCAACGACAATCCGCTGATCGATGTTGCCCGCAATCTCGCCCTCCATGGAGGGAACTTCCAGGGCACTCCAATTGGTGTCTCTATGGACAATCTCCGGATCGCCGTGGCTGCAATAGGAAAGCTCTTGTTTGCGCAATTCTCTGAGCTTGTCTGCGACTACTTCAACAACGGGTTGCCTTCAAATTTGAGCGCGGGGCCTAATCCCAGCCTCGACTATGGCCTCAAAGGTGCGGAAATCGCCATGGCGGCTTACTGCTCCGAGCTCCAATACTTGGCGAATCCTGTCACAACGCACGTGCAAAGCGCGGAACAACACAACCAGGATGTGAACTCTCTCGGCCTAATTTCAGCACGAAAAAGTGCAGAAGCCATCGATATCCTGAAGCTCATGTCTGCGACTTACATGGTGGCAATTTGTCAGGCAATTGACCTGAGGCACCTGGAGGAGAACATGAGAGAGGCCGTGAAACGCACGGTCCTCCAAGCAGTGAGGAAAACACTTTACATATCAGAAGACGGCTTGCTGCTCGAATCGCGATTCTGCGAGAAAGAGCTCTTGCAGGTCGTTGAACATGAGTCCATCTTCTCCTATATAGACGACCCTGGGAATCCTTCGTACGTTCTATTGCCCAAACTGCAAGAAGTACTTGTCAAGAGAGCTCTCAAAGACCCAAAGGCTGAAGATGCAAGTGAGAACGGATACTCGATCTTCAAGCGGATCCCGCTATTTATCGAGGAACTGAAAGCAAGGCTTGAGGAAGAGGTGCCGAGAGCGAGGGAGAGGTTCGACAACGGGGAATTTGGCATCGAGAATAGGATCGAGAACTGCAGGACTTATCCTGTATACAGGTTTGTGAGGAGTGACATGAGGACTCAGCTTCTGAGCGGTTCAAAGAAAGTGAGCCCAGGAGAGGAAATAGAGAAGGTGTACGAGGCCATCAATGAAGGAAAACTAGGAGATGTTCTGATGCAATGCTTCCAGAATTGCAGTGCATGAACTTGCTGGTTCTTGAAGTAGATCAAGTTGTATGCATCAGGATTTACGAGCTCTTTTTTTTTTTTCCTTGTTTCTTTTTTCTTTCTTTTCTTAAAGTATTAATATGTGTGGTCTGTAATGATGGAGGACATAATGAAAGTACAAAATCTATACACATCTATCAATCAGTAAGTGGAAGAGGACAAGAAAGGCTGGTCTCCAATGTGCTGATCCAATTCAAGCTTTTTGCAGTGAATCAATGGCATGCCATGCCACAACAATTGCTATACATGTCACAGTGAATCTGTCACTTGGTCATCTGTGGTATTTTCCCAGCACCCAAAAATCTGCGGCATTTATAAGAATCTAAACTGAAAACTTGACCTTACTGAAGATATCGATGTCTGGCTTGTCGTATTAATGAAATATCCAGCTTAAAAAAGCAGTTGAATTAGCTGAAAACCAATCGGCAAGAAAAGATAACCCATAAAAAGGAAACGAAATGGACAAGGCAAGAATGGACATGGGCCATCCTCACCTTTTTTTCTCTTATCTAGTAAGTGGGAGAGGCTGTTCTGCGCCGCCGTTTGCTGTACGTGAACATGGAACTCACGCTTTGTTCTTGCTTAATACTCGATCTTTTTCTTCTTGCATTTTAGGGTAACTTTCTAGGACAAATTTCGAAGTAATTAGACATAGTTCCGGCCTGATTTCATCTACAATATTAACTGTTTTGAGAATTATAACACGGTGTGACCTAGAATGACGGTCACTGCTTTTGTGTTTTATTCTTCTGTCGCATTGACAATGAACTCATGCTTACAAACTTTGTCACTGCACCTTATCGATTCATAATAGATAATGCAAGAAAAATGATCATTCATTATGTAGATCAGATCCAGATTATTTTTGGTCTTGTCCTACTTTAACTCTCAATTCAATCTCAGATTTTTGCCCTACCTCTTAGTCTTTGCAGAGCGTGGGAGTTGAATCCCACACCTGAAACTAAACGTCCTCATCTCCAATCCCCCTTGAAAAGATGGGGATTCGAAGTCCCCACCTCTCCCTTTTCACGTGGGAAGGATGGCCTGGGGCAAACCCAATGGCAGATCCTATTATGAGTTAGAGAAAAATGACAAATTTTGGTGATTGTAAGGATTCTCTAGTCTTACGGAGTAAGAAAAAGGAAGAACAAGAAGTCTCCTAGTTCCTCTAGATTACATAGTTAGGCTTGGAGTCCTGATTATAAAACCCAGCCCAATTGCTTAAAACATTGCAAAGCCAACATACAAGCCTCGTTGCTTAAGTTTTGCAGGTGACCAGCCTCTCAGTTTCCCGCGTGATTCTCAACTTCTCACAGCCCAAGGGGTTTGCTCCCCATGACATCTCCGTCCCTCAGTCTCGGCCATCTCTCTGCAAGCAGCACTGATCACCGTGGCCGGTTTCGCCATGGAATACAAGTAGGAGTGTGCTTTAAGGCAAGTACACCAGCATCGTATTGTGCTTGTGACGACCTAGACCCAAGGCGGCGGGCGCAGGATGAGGGATGGCAGGGGAGGCCGCCTCTACCTTGGACGTGCGCAGGGCGAGGCTAAGCGCATGTCTCATGTCCCACATCGCGTAAGGAGAGAGCCTTGGCCTTGCTTATAAGGCTTTAGGAGCCTTAACCTAGTACGATGCGTTTTAAATCCGTGATGGCTCCGGCCCAAAGTGGACAATATCGTGCTAAGGTGGGTCCTCGGGTCGTTACAAATGGTATCAAAGCCAACTCCCGACAGCATGTGGGGCCACAGCGAGGGCGCTGTGCCCGTAAGGGGGGAGAATGTGACGACATAGACCCAAGGCGGCGGGCGCAGGATGAGAGATGGCAGGGGAGGCTACGCCTCTACCTTGGACGTGCGCAGGGCAAGGCTAAGCGCATGTCTCCTATCCCACATCGCCTAGGGAGAGAGCCTTGGCCTTGCTTATAAGGCTTGAGGAGCCTTAACCTAGTACGACGCGTTGCGTTTTAAATCCTTACGGGCTCCGGCCCAAAGCGGACAATATCGTGCTAAGGTGGGTCCTCGGATCGTTACAGTGCCGACACTAGTACTTGTGGAAAACTGCTGAGTCCCTCTCCAGGTAACATGGCTTCTCGGTTCTCTTTATTGTCATCGTTGTTGTTCTTTTTAAATCTTGAGTCTTTTTCGAGTTCGGTTCACTAATGTTGAAGAGAATCTGCTTCTGACTATGCTACATGCTCTGCTTCTTTAGTGATCGAGGAAAGTGAAGACTCTTCAGAAATTTCTAAGAAGAAGAAGAAAAAGAAAGACAAGGAAAAGGAGAAGAAAGCGGCAGCGGCAAGAGCTATCGAAGAAGAAAATCAAGAAAACAAAGGTCAGTGCCATCAGAAAAGTGCCGAAGCATGCGAGAGAGGTGCAGGAGGCGCTTGCTAGATTCAAGGAGGTCGTGGAGAGAAGGAAAAGAGAAGAACAGAAGAGACTGAGGAAGGAGGAAGAGGAGTAGCGTAGGCAATTGGAACTCGAGAGGCAAGCAGAGGAGGCTAAGTGAAGGAGAAAAGAGGAAAAGCTGGCCTGAAGCCGGAAATAACTTCATATGCATGAAAGTTATATCTTATTTACAAGTGTACATACAATAGCTACTGCTGTAGCCTGTTGGAGAAATCGGAAATAATTACGCGAAAGACAAAAATGGTGCTTGAGTTGATATGAGTCAATAGCGCGAGAAGGATCAACATTATTGAGGCAGGGAAGTTCTCTCTCTTGTCCCTCACTTCTAATGTGTCATCTGGACCTGGCTTAGCTTCAGTTCAATATCGTCATACCCCATTTGAGGTATCGCTGTTTTGAGACTTGCAAATTTGCATTGTCGAACTGAGTCGATACTGATTTCTACAGTTTGAGCAATCAAGAGAGTTCATCAAATTGTCTGCAAACCAGTCCAACCGTCACGTACACTTTTGTTCTTTTCACCTATTCTTTCCAAGGACTAAATTACTAGAAGAACACAGAAACTTTGATCTTCTTGCACTTGCTTGAGGATTTGCATATCCTTATCCTATTTCATCCATTTAGGCACCTTCGGCGACTGAATGCATAACTACAGGTACAGTTCAGAGCATGATCTGCCGGCAGATTATTCAAAGATAATCTCATGAATTTGGTGCACAGCTTTATGTTCAATTAGCTAATCTTCTATCTCTCCCCTTTTGGACAGGTTGGTTACTACAGTTTGTATTCTGCGGGGAGAGTTCATTGATATCGGTCAGATCGCCTCTATTGAAAACAATCATAAACCCGTTTGACACTGCCAAGAAAGGCCAGAAGGTGGCCATTAAGGTACACTGTCATCTTCTTTGTAGTATCGGTTTGTGGTCATTCGGGGAAGATAAACATTCTTACCCGAATTGCATGCTGTTCCCCTTCCCAGATCGTCAGCGCAAATTGCCAAAGAAGCACTGAAAGATGTACACCAGTCATTTCGACTCATTAGATGAGCTAGTCGGTCACGTTCAGAGGAGGTCGATCGACATCCTCGAGGCGAACTGCCGGGTAGACAAATCTTTGATTAATTAGAACATGGCTTCACAGCTCTTCAATCTGAATTTGACACACGCCTGTGACTTAACTTAGCTCCTATAGGTCCAAGGTGACTTGAAGCTGAAGACCCTCTTTCAAAACCCACTAGACTCCACTTGCCAACAGCTTGTGCAGATCACCAACTTCTGAATGCAACTTCTCGAGTCTCTTTCATCCAACAACCGTGTTGACCAAGAAAAACTCAAAACTCAAGAGTCAAGAAAAGTTCCGAGCGTTTTCTTTCACCCTTTTCAGGGAAGAAAATCGATTGCTTAAGCACTAAACCTTCTCACCTTGCTCAAGAGAAGCACAATGCTTGTTGCTTGCACACCGGCAAGTGTTCGCCGGATTCAATTAGGACGACGGCAACCTTCGCGAACCGCCCCGGCGGCGACAACATTATGTCCAATGTAATTACGTCGAAAGGGAATGTTTTAAATAATAAATCATTCTTAGGCTCAGCTAATCCTTTGACCATGAGAAAGAGAAACACTCAACTACTCCACAGCATGTCGTGTATTTAAATAAACGATCATGCATTTAGAATAATTACTTTATAATCGGTCGGTGGTTATGATAAATCCAAGGGTTCCAGTGATTTTCTTCGGATGAAAAATTATAAAAGGTGACAGTTAGAATAAGCTTCTCTAATTTAAATGTTAGTATTAGCGCAAATTTCACTTTTTAGGTCCATGGTCTTCCGGGTAGTCGAACTTTTTGTGGTCGAATTGTGAAAGAAATTGATTTTAAGAGAGATTCTAATTCCCTTATGTGTCTGTCCTATGCAAAAGTATCAAGTGACAATTTGGATTATAAGCAAATCACACGCGGGCTATCGAATTGTCGAATGGAGGGCGTATCTAATCGAATTGTATGCTATCTTCTAATTACGTCTTTCGAAAATTGTGCAAAAATATTTATCACTCCTCTGGGGTCGATACAATTAATTGGAGCATTGGGATATTTCAAGTTTTTCGAAATTGGAGATTGCCCGGTCAAATCTATACGCGCTCTGAATCAGGGCCGTCTAGGCAGGTCAAAAGTATGGAACTTAACCGGTTCATGCGCTTAACGGGGTATTTCACGAGTATCAGGTAGCCTGGTCTCAAGCGCGCGTGTCCCGAATTATTAAAAAAATTACGTGAAAATATGGTGCGGTAAATATGAAAATTTATATAAAAAATCTGGATGCGAATACGGGAGTGGTCCTTCCAACCGACCCACTCAACGAATCTGGTTGGAAATTTTCTTTGTCCTAATAAACTCGTATAGCCTGTCAGAATTCCCTTCCATCGCAGCCGTTCAATAACGTATGCAACGATCAGAGAAATGAAAAACCAACGGCCAAGATCGCAGATCACTAAGACCAGGCGCAGGAAGTCAACTCAACTCCGCGTGGGAAGCTTCTGAGAAGCGTTTGACTCAAGCGAAAGAAATCATAAACCGATACACATGTCTTAAGCAAAAGGTAACATCTCAAATTAATACACCCGTCAATTATCACGTGTCATCTAATTCAGTAATTTAACTGTAAAATTTAACGGAAACTAACGGAGAGTAAAATTATCACAGATGTACCAATTTGAAGTTTTTCATGGTTAAAAAATTAGTTAAGGGTAAATTTATCACAAATATACCGATTAGAATTTTTTTATGGTATTAACCCTTTGGATTATAAGCAAATCACATTCGATTTACGATTTTTTTATTTTTTTTCCGATCGAAAAAAAAAAAGAATCAATATTTAGTTACATCGTTTATTCAATAAAAATTTTGCCGACAATTCGCCACACTTAAAGCGAAAATCACACACGGGCTATCGAATTGTCGAATGGTGGGTATGGTTGGTCGAATTGTCCTCTAACTTCTCATCTTTCGAAAATTGTACAAAAATCTTTATTACTCCTCGAGGGCTGGGACAATTAAATTGGGATAAGAGATTGTGTCCGTTCAAATCTTACCAATTATACACATACCGCTCTGAATCAGAGCCATCTAGACAGATCGAAGGTATGAACTTAATCGATTCATATACTTGACGGGATATCTCACGAGTCACGAGCACCAGGTCGCGTGTTCCCTGAATTATTAAAAAATATTCGCGAAAATACGGTGCCGCAAATATGAAAATTCATATAAAAAAAAAAAGGAAAAACACTGGATCCGAGAACGATATCTTGTCGATAAAGAACTTCCATCCGCGCGTTCAATCCAACCACTCAAATTGCAAGGTCAGAATTCCATTCCATCGCAGCCGTTCAATGACGTACGCGACGATCAGAGCTACGCAAGACCAACGGCCAAGATCACGAAGACCGGGAACGGCAAAGTCAACTCAACTCCGCGTGCGGAGCTTTCTCCTTCCTGAAAAGCGTTTGGCTCAAGCAAATAACATGTTTCACGGACTTTAATGATTGACCTCGTTGATTTTCCAAGAAACGATGATGGGCAACCCACCCAATTCCTGATCCCACAGTCCCTGCCGGCCGCGTTCTTTCCACACTTCATTGACTTCACATAGAAGCAGACCAGAACGAGCTCCCCGTGAACTGAAACGGGGTCCTTCAGTTCTTGATCCAATCATGCATGCAGAGCGAGAGATGGAGGAGAAGCTGTCGGGAGCGGCGGTCAGTGGCAGCGTGACGACCCTCTTGGATTTGCTGGATCAAGACCCGCTCGCTCTCGACAAGATCATCGTGTCATGCACGTCCCGGAACCCCCTCCACGTCTCGTCCATGCTCGGCCACTCGGAGTTCGTCGGGGCGCTCCTGGCCCGGGCCCCGCAGCTCGCCTCCGAGACGGACCCGGACGGCGGCAACTCGGCCCTCCACCTCGCGGCCGCGAGGGGGCACGCGGGGATCGTCGGGATGCTGCTGTCGGCCGATCCGGCGATGGCGGCGCGGAGGAACGGGGACGGGCGGACGCCGCTGCACGTGGCGGCGAGCAAGGGCCGGGCGGAGGCGGCGCGGCGGATCGTCCGGGGGGCAGGGCCCGAGTCGGCGCGGGCCGCGACGGACCAGGGGGAGACGGTGCTGCACGTGTGCGCGGGGAGGAATCGGGTGGAGGCGCTACGGGCGGTGGTGGAGGAGGCAGGGAGGGAGATCGTGGAGGAGTTGGTGAATAGGAGGGATGGTGATGGGAACACGGTTCTGCACATTGCTGTGGCCAAGAAGCAAGTTGAGGTAAATTTTTGCTTGAACTGATTGACCAGTAGACTTGCCTTGAGGATGCAAATTGCAATCACAATGTCGGAATGGGGTTACTACTAGTGTTGGCATACATACTAATCATTTATCAATTGAAATTTAATTTCGGCTGAGATGAGTTTAGGTCGAGAAATTTCTTATAGATTCAGTCCATTTTCCCAGGCAACGTAATCTTTTGCTGTATTTCGCGAGCTAATTTTCCGATGACAAACATCTCGGAACGTATTAAAATCGATGGTACGCTTGATGTTAGAGATTGAGTGTGACCTGTGTTGAATAACCGTCACGTATCATCAGTAAAACTCACTTCGAACAGATCTTGATGTCTTAGAAAGGTTACCATTTTTAGCACACCATTCAGATGGCTTTCAAATGGGAAAAATGAAGCTTCCTCAGTGTATCAATTTCAATCAAGATTTCTGTATTCATGGCCATCTGAAATTTACTTTCGTTTTGACAAATATTGGTCCCCAAAAAATTTCCGTGCAGATGATAAAGTTCTTGCTTACAATCCCAGGACTTGAAGTAAACACACCAAACTCAAGTGGCCTCACATCACTAGACATTCTTGAGCAGAGTCCCAGAGGCTTGAGAGACCTTGAAATTGAGACAGCCCTTCAAAACTCAGGCGCTTCACTCTCCAAAGACATCCAATCAATCCCGTATCACTATGATCCAGTTATTGACCCCCCACCAAGAAAAACCTCCCACGCCACCACCTCAAGATCACCTATAAACTCCCGATCACTCTCCACCAAGAAAGCCCCATCAAAGAAACTGAGTACTCGAAGAAAACCCCCGCCGGAAGCCGATTGGCTTAGCCAAAAGAGAAATTCCCTAATGGTGGTCGCGTCGCTGCTAGCGACGGTGGCATTCCAAGCTGCAATTACGCCGCCGGGAGGCGTCTGGCAGGATGACTACAAGGTTGATGCCAACGGCAACCCGGTGAAGGAGCCCCACTTGGCGGGCACCTCCATCATGGCCCATGTCCAGGGGATCACCTACGGTCAGTTCATGATCTTCAACACGCTAGCCTTCCTGTCCTCCCTCAGCATCATCCTGCTCCTCTTGAGCGGGCTTCCTATAAAGCGGCGACGCTGGATGTGGATCCAGATGGTGATCATGTGGCTGGCAATCACAGGGCAGGCGATCACCTACTTCATAGCGCTGCGCAACATGTCGCCGGCTGACACGCGGGGGATGCTGAAGGACGTGACGGATGTGTCGGTGGTGTGCTGGCTGTGCCTGATGGTGGTGGTGTTCATGGGGAATGTGGTGAGGCTAAATGTGTGGATGCTGAAGAAGTGGGGTTACTTGAAGAAAAAAGAGAAGAAGGATTCAGATGGAGATGATGGAGACAAGTACGAGGAAGTGTGAGAGTCTGTGTGCTGATTAAGTATATTGAGTAAATTGTGGCGGCGGCGTGTTAAGTATGTGTGAATTTGTGATTTTGATGAGCGGGTTGCCGATGGTTTTTGAGGTGCTCTGTTTTCTTCTATTTCTGTTAGAGAACAGAGTATTGGTCCTAGAGAGAGGGTAAGATGGATTCCGCTAGAGAAATCTCTGGATGGTCAACGATTGAAGAGACTACTATTGCGCTTGGAGCAAAAGTGCATGATCTCTGTTTCTCCGTAATTTAATCCGTAAGGAAACAAACACCGAAAATGGATCTTTGGCTTTTAATCGAAGGACGGGTTCTGTGGTGATTTGACAGGAAATATCCAAGCGATCATAAAAATCAACGTGGAATTGTACAAACCTAAACCAAACCGGAGTTTGACTCGACGGAAAAGCTTAGGAAGTACTATCGAAACATACTTCGACGGAATTTGACTCGAGGACAAAGCTTGAAAGAGCGGCGGTACTACGCCGGGATTTGACTCGACGACGTAGCACCAAGGATGAAGATTCATATCGGAGGACGACTCGGCGACGTGAATCTGAGAATTAGAACTACTCCTAAAGAATTAAAGCTTGTAAATTGCAGGAAAATAATGGCCTTGGCCAAATGTAAATGTACGAGTGCAGGAAATGTAAAGATAAAAGAAAGATAAACTGATAAAGAACGTGAGTTCTGTTGTTGATTTCGGGGGTCTTTAAAATACAAACTTGGGATATTTATAATCCCGTACAAGCGTTTACAACTTTTAAATTTTAAATAAAAAGTAACTTCCTAACGGTGGTTATTATCTTCCTATTTTCTAGTGACTCTCCACGTTCAAATAACCACACTTATCCGTAAGCAATTTTGTTATTGACATCTAACTATCGGTAAGTTGCTGATGCCGATCCTCTGCTCACCCACTATCGGTAAGTTGCGAACTATCGGTAAGTTACCGACGCCAAAGCTCCCGATGCCTATTTCCATGATTTTTTTTCACTTTTTGGTGTAAACAATCTCCCTTTGTAAATGTACAAAAATCAGGGCAATACGCGGTTATATTTGCTGCAGTTTCTTCTCTATACAATGTTGAACATGACTGTTGGACGACGAGAGCTTCAGCCAGCTTGGCCAGGTCTGCTCAGGAACGGCTCGGTCCTCAGCTCGGCCATCTTTGTTCCGCATGGTGGGATTCTCGACTTCGGTCCTCAATTGAGATTTAGGGTGGTTAGAGATAAATTGGTAACGCAGGATGGGATTTCCTGCTATTGTTATGTGATTGTTTCCTCAGTTTAAATATTATTTGATGATTAGATTGTAAATGTTTGGCCAGGTTCTCTATTTCCTTCCCTTCCTAGCTACTGTTTAATATCTATTTCGCCAGACGCTTCTGCTACAGAGAGAGGATCAATTAAGCTGCCATCTCAAGCCTCTGTTGCACGAGACTGAACCTCATGCAGGCTAGGCTAGAGTGTATCCACTGTCTATGACTTGAGAATTCCATGTCAATTAAACCGTACAAAGTGATGCACATTTGATGATTAGAAGCACGACTCTGTTTAAGTTTTGTACCTCGTTACATCCTAAGTAGCACCGACACCGATACCCGACATGCGACACGACACGTCATTTCTCAAAAAATGAAAATCCCAATACGTTGGGACACATTGTATATTAAATGTATATTTTTATATATACATGATAAATTATCATTTTTGTAATTATTGTAATCAAATTAATTTAATTCTAATCCATAAATAAATAAATAAAACGAGTGTCGGACGAGTGTCGGTGTACGACACGTCCGACACGTGTCCGACACAACACAAAGGCCTCCAGAGAGTGTCCGTGCTTCCTAGGTTACATCTCTCCGCCAGATATATTAGTTTTCATTGAAATCTCCACGAGACTCTGATTCTTTAGGCAATTCGACACAATATGTCGGGCCATCGAAGTAGCATAAACTGAAAGAGAGAGCCGACTCGAGGGATTGTTAAACAGAATGAAACTTAATGAAAGCATGAACTTATTCCGTGCCAAACAAAACATTCTGTTCTGTCTTTTGCCATAAAAACTTCTCGATTCTCATTCATATGGAAAATACAGCACTATTATATCAAGGTGGTCCGCCTTCAACATCGGCATCAAATAAAAACTGCAGATATACGGGAACATGAAAACACTAACTCTCACTACAAACTCGATCTCTAGCCTGAGTAGCTATCCAGTTGTCTGATGGATTAGTTGCTCAACTGATCCAACTCTACTAGACCTCTTCAAAGGTTGAAGCTTTTTGTCCCGCAACTGTTATCGGTTACAGAAATCCTATCGCCGTTGCTAACTTCGATCTTTTATTAGGTCTTCTACAAGCTCTAAATAGTTCGCGCCTTTGCTTATGGTCTTCTCACACATCCTTCTAGGTCTTCCCATCCCCCCTCCTGTCTTTAGTTTTCGCTCCTTGCACATATCTCCTTGCTGAGGCATTGACCCAAAGGTCTTCGTTCGACGTGATCGAACCATTTCGAACGACCTCCTCTCATTTATCCTCGACTGGTTGGCAGCCCTTCATTTTCCTGCATAAATTGATTTGTAATCTCGCCTTTTCTCTTGATTCTCATATCTTACGAAGCATTCTCAAGGTGTCGTCCGCATGATCTCCAATATTTTCAAAATAGAGCAAAGTTAATGGAAGGACTTGGTCCTTAGTAGTACTAAGCTAGTCCTTCATGATCTCCAATTTTCTCGGGGTGTCAACTGAGATTTTTTGGTCACTAGACTTGCGCCGCATCATAAGCCATATCTCTTACTGGTTCTGTCGGAAACCCTAAGGTTTACAAAGTTTCCCTTCAAAGTTCAAGTTTCTGGTTAGCTCCAGCTTGGGTTTCACCTACCAACACCATACCATCTGCAGAGAAACTACACCAGTGGGACATCGTCTTGAACTTGTCTTGTCCGCATGGTCGAATTCACCATCCATTGCCCCCTCTAGGCTTCCTATAAATTGATATGGAAGTTACAATATTTTGTAATCATTTGGTTTAATTTGCCCCACGTAATCACTAGTGTGTACTTATAAGGCTTCATTCAACATGGGAAGTGTAGAGATTACAATATTCGAGTCGTTCATTCGGTTTTGTTCGCGTCTTACTTTGTCCAAAATATCAATGAGGCATTATGGGTATTCGAAGTATACTTACCTAAAACGATATGTTCAATCATAGAAAAAGCGAGTGTCGAAATAATTAATAAAAATGCAAATGTTAAAGCGTCCCCTTATTATTTTTTAAGTCTCATTAATTGACATGTTTTTTAGAGTTAACTTGACACTTCTATAATTTTGATAAAATAATTTGGATATCCTCCATGTTTTCATGACGCTCTTATTAATGAATACATCAGAGGCACTAGTTAAGATCACTAAAAATAAAAAGTAACACACATCATTTAACGTTGAAAACTAGGCGACAAGACATTTCCAAAAAGCCACTTGCTTCAAATATAAAGTTTTTATATTTTCAAAGCACAATTAATGAGGCTCAACAAGCACCTTAGATACACTCTTTAACATTTGCCTTTTTAATAATTGCTCCGACATTAACTTTTTCTATGACGAAAAGCTTATCTTAGGTAAATAAACCTTCTAAAATACCCCATTGATATTATGGATCAAGTAAGACGCAAACCCAAATTTATATTTGACGTGGTTGACCATCAGGTTCATGGCACTCACTTACCTTGAGTCCATGAGGGCCATCTTGTAACTGCAGAACCGGGATCCTGAAGACGTGAGGCCAATCACAAGAGTCGTCGGCAACTCCATGATTGTTTGGCTAGGTGTTATAGCGATTGTTTTTCTAGTTCACACCGTCCGGTTCCTCAGGATTGTCCTCTGGATTGTGAAAAACCCGCAAAAGCCCAAGAAGCGGATATCAGGGTGTGTGAGTTGGTGCAGATCTAGGAGCAATATCAAGATCAAATGTATTCATCTGGTGGGACAAAGGATTACTACATAGTCTCGATGCCTGTGTTTTTTCAAACTTAATCCCTATGTCACAATGTCATTCGAGTACCACTAGTTATGCGAACCATTTAATGAGACTACCAAACCAAACGCATCGTCCATCTCGCATCATTCTTGAGCCCCCTCATTTGGGATGTCTGGCGCTCGTAGCCAATCTTTCTAAAGAGACTGGAAGGTCTGGCCGCGAAGTAACTTGATTTACACCTTCCGTGTATAGTGGGAATTAGTAGGTGAATAAAACATTTGGAGTTTTTTTTTTTAACTACCAGAATTGTCAGATAAAGTCTTCCTTCAAGGTTTGTAATCTCAGTCTGACCTGATGCTGCTAGTATAGGTTGAGCCATTCTATGATTATGCCCACGCAGCTTCCCATCTCTCGTTCCAAATACACCAACCAACCAAACCGACCTACCTCAAAAGCATCAACACTTCTTTTTCTGTTTCCTCCCATGTTGATATGTGTCCAAAAGCCATCCAATCAAAGCTAGTGAGCCTCTCTGTCTGATCAATTTTCAACCCCATGGCACCAAGCCAAATCGCAGTCACACCATTTACATGAACAACTTCTTGCACTATCTTTCCCTGCCTAATTTTAAGGAAGCGATACACAGATTTCACAGAACACACTCCATTATTATTCACAGGCCGTGCAAGCCGAACCTCTCTCAAGGTCGGAATCGAAGCAGCATTATGTCACACCCCAAAACCTACCAAAACAGGGGATGACACGACTGTTCTTCCACCCGAAGGACTCAGCCTGAAATCAAAACCAAAGAAATTCAACTCCCAAAAGTCCCTACGACATCACTCTCGCTCTATTAGCTACTAACCAAAAAACCTGAAAAGATTGGGGAAAAAGAGAGGTGAACAACCACAGTTCAGTAAGTAGTGCATATATCTTCTAAGCAGATTGAGCAATCACTATGCATATATATAAAACATTACCAGAAGCTCATACTTCAATCCAAAGATATAATATATATACATATATATATATATATATATATATATATATATCTCAATCAAATACGAGTTGTTTCATTTCAACAAAATTTTATACAAATAAGAAATACTCGTTTAAACCATCATCTTAAATCAAACATCAATAGTCAAGTCTATTGATCAATCTCTATTAAAAACCACGTCAATGGTCCATCCCATTAACTAATCTCAAATCACACACCAATAGTCTATTCCATTGATAAATCTCATATCACATTACACGTTGATGGTCCATTTCATCAACCAATCTATTGCTCAATATCAAATCATGATCACGTCACAACGCCTTATGACAAGGATACCAAGACTTTCCCATTGGCAAGATCTCCACCTACAAAGCTAGTGGCTTGGCCAAGAATGATATCTTAACCTGGTATGCATACCCCCAAACCTCTCAATGGGTTCACAGCGATATTGAGCACAAAACCCACATCCTCCAATAATTCACAATTCCAAATTACCCATAAACCATTGCATAAATCACAATATTGTTCTCAAATCATTTCATAATCCATTTCGTAAATCATAATACATTTCCATAACCATTTCATAATCAATTTCATAAATTACAATACGTTTCCATAATCATTTTATAATCCATTTCATAAATCACGTTCACAAAGCAATACATATACATAAGCTGTCACGGCACATTTCATGATACGTGTCTCAAATCATTCTCAAATAGCCGAAAGGTAGTGAATACCCAATCCTGCTTTATACAACAAAAATGCTCTTTTAAGTTCAATATATATATTTATATCGAATTAGTATTACTTCAAGGCATGGAAATTACAAAACTAAATAAGTGATAGCATCACTCACGAACTCGCAGTACTACCAATTAAACGAGAATCGAAATCAAAATCAAGTAAAACACTGCGATTACTACGAAACGACTAAACTATGCTTAAGCACTAACTAAACTACTCAAACGCGCTCACAAATCGCTCATCCAAAGCGATTATCCAAAGTCATCCGCAACGCTTAACTCAAGTACGAAACTTGATTACGCCATAATTCTCTCCGTCAAACCCTGTCCCAAGCAAGCTTACAGTTAAAAGGAAGATCTTTCGAAGCACTAGAAGACCCACAACTTGGCCATCCCAAAATCAAGCCGAAAACCGACGAAAATCGACCTAAAAGCCGTTGGTCGCGCACTGTTCACTCGCACGCAACTTCAAAAATCATATCGGGCAAACTATAAGTCCAAATCGAGTTCTGCAAAATTCCACGGCTTCACAACACCCTAAACTACCAATTTTATATATATACGTAGCTCCATGACTCAAAAATCGGATTTTGCGGCTTGATTTTCACAAAACTCCAAAATTATGCCCTAATCCCGAAAAATACTCTGATTGGACGAACGAAGGGCGCAAGTGTTTACCGAGCGCTACGATACGAAGTCAAATCGGCTTGTCGATGTCTCCGTGACGCAAAACCCTCCTCTTTTGCCTTTCCTTTTCTTTCTTCTTTCCCTTCTCCTTCTCTCTCTCTTTCCTTTTCTGCTTTTCCCGAGCTCTCGGTCTCTCTCTTATAAGCTAAAGACCACTTCGGCTGCACATGGTAACCATTCTGTGCCCGGGAACAAATTCTGATCAGAAATGATTCTTTTTTATTCTGTGCCCGGGAACTAATTATGAGCATTTGAAGGCATTTGGTAACGGCCCAAAATTTCTATTCTTGAAATAGTAAAAGAACATAAATGCGTTTGGTAACGGTATAAAATTTCTTTTTATTAATAATATTTTAATAACATTTTAAATATTTTAATATTTCTTTCTTTTCTTTTTTTCTTCTCCTCCTTCTTGGCCATGGCCGGTAAAATATTTTTTAATTAATAATACTTTTATTAAAAATAATTTTTTTATTTTTTTGGCCATGGCAGGTAAAAATTTCTTTATTAATAATACTTTTATTAAAAATAATTTTTGTATTATTTTTGGCCATTGCCGGTAAAAAAATTTTATTAATAATATTTTTTTATTTTTTTGGCCATGGCCGGTAAAAAAAATTTAATAATATTTTTTTATTAATAATATTTTTATTGAAAAAAAAAATTTATTTTTTTTCGCCATGGCCGATAAAATATTTTTTTTACCATGGCCTGTAAAATATTTTTTTTATTAACATTTTTTTATTAATAATATTTTTTATTAAAATATTTTTTTCCTTTTTTTTGGCCATGGCCGATAAAATATTTTTTTTATTAATAATATGTTTTTTTTCATGGCCTAGTCGCTGGCCATGGTTGGTAAAATAATTTTTTTTGTTTCATGGCCGGTAAAATATTTTATTATTAATAATATTTTTTATTAATAATATTTTTTTATTAAAATATTTTAATCTCGCCAGATACGGCGAGGGTGGCCCTCGCGCCGGACATTAGAAGCTACATTAAAAATCAAGAAAAAGAAGAAGAAAAAAAATTCATTCTCACTTTTGTTCCCAGAATCAAAAAGATACTTTTTTTTTTATTCTTGATTCTGCTCCAAAACTGATTCTGGGCATAAATTTGCAAGAATTTGTGCCCAGAATCAAAAAATTTAACAAACGGATTTCTGTTCCAAAACTGATTCTGAGAACAAAAGAACAGAAATTTTCACTATTTGGTCAGTTGCCAAACAAACCCTTCCTCTTCTTTTTCCTTTTTCTTTTTTAAGTGGGTCTCACCACCAAGTCTTTTACCTGGTCTTTGCACTCCCATTTAGGATCTCATGAAGCTTTACTGCTGTTAGTCATGCTTAGCAGATAATATTGGCTTAGTGGTTGTCTACTTCTTTCAACCTCACTTGAATTAAGGTCAATGTTTTAACAAAATTATGATGGAATATTATATATATCTCCTTTTTGGTGCCACAGTTGTTTGGGTCCACATTAGATTAATCAGCAGACGGAGAATTTGGTTATGAGCTTTTGACTGAATAAACAAAGATGTACAGATTATCCCAGTCTCCTTTCTACTCCAAAACAAAACATAATGAAATGACCGAGGTAAATTTATTAAACACATAATGATTTGTCACATCCTGGGTCTTTGCATTCCCATTTAGGATATCATGAAGCTTTACAGCTGTTAGTCATGCTTACTGGCTTATTAGTTGTCTACTTCTTTCGACCTCACTTGACTTAAGGTCAATGTTTTAACAAAATTATAATAGAATATATATATATATATATATATATATATATATATATATATATATATATATCTCCTTTTTGGTGCCACAGTTGTATGGGTCCCCATTAGATCAATCAGCAGACGGAGAATTGAGTTATGAGCTTTTGACTGAATAAACAAAGATGTACAGATGGTCCACTTGTAATTTGGAATCTCTAGTTCATCAGGAAAAGCCCTCTGACATCGCGTACGTATGTCAGTATAGTTTCCCACATTCGCTATTGGTTATTATCGTCCAGGTGCGAATGTGAGGATGCCATGCAAAAGAAATCTCGTGTCATGAATATGATATAAAATGGAGTAATTAATGTTACGCTAGGTTGACTATAACTCATTGGCAAGTTTTTTAGTGAAAATGAATCTAACTGAATATGTTGATAGACTTAGACGGGAGCTCTCTCTTAACAATCTCCCTAAGTGAAGGTATCGAACTTATACTGTGCCTCCCAAAACATAGTATCAAAGCCGATCGTTTGGACGAGCTAAGCCAAACATGTGTAGATTGGCATTGGGGGAAAATGTCAAGGAAGGAATCTCAAAATTTACTCCCAATCAAGGTGACAGATAGTGTGTTCTTGCTAAGCTCAACCAATCCAAAGCGATTGAGGAAGAGTCGCGTTGCCTTTCGTGACAAGTTTTAGGATTTCTAATGCACATATCTCATTATAATAGAAAAGTTGGAGCATTGTTTACATGCCTAGATAAGATATTAACACACTTCCATACTTATTCATAAGCTTCACACTTGAGAAAGTATTATTAATGTGACTATATAAGAGCAAGATACATAGGATGAATTGATAAAAGGAAAAAAAAAAAAAAAGGATATTCATCTCCATTTTGGTGCCACAGTTATATGGATCTAAATTGAAGTGCGCGTGTGAGGGTGTTATTCAAAAGAAGTCCCAAATCTGCACTGTGGTGTAAAGTTGAGCAATTAATATTATCCTAGTTAGCTTATAACTCATTGTCTTATATTTTTAAGTGTATGTGGATTTAACTGAATATGTTGACTATCTCGGACTAACCCCATCAGGCTTCCGCTGCACCTCCCAACAAATGATATGAGACCTTATGGTTTGGATACGTTGGACCCAACATGTGTGGATCTTCCTCCTAAGTTTGGCTGGCCTGTTGTGTTCCAATCAAACTTGGGTTAGCCAAGGTGGAGATTTGGTTGAGATGATCAGTGCAAAAGGATACCTAAGTAAAAGGGAACGCAGAAGGCTCACATGAGAGAAAACTTATCAGACGGGTGAGTAGGATAGGGTCGGGTTTGGATGGATCAAAAGAGATCCAACCCAAGTCGATCCATTTAACCGATATTAATCCATTTTCATATGATACAATTTTAGAGACTCATACCCGATCCAATCAATCCAGATCAAACACATTCCAACCTAATCCGGACTCCAGTTGTTAGTAATTTTTCCCCGTGAATAAGGGGGATGTAATTTTCATATGACCCAAATATAAGAGGTTAATTTTATGTGTATTATTTTCCTTGAGATGCAAATTATGTTTTCTTCACAAACCAAAATGAGATATTTTTCACAATCTTGTACGATACGATAGCGACTAGTATCTTTCCTCCATTTTGGGCCCAAAGAAATGGACTGAAAATCAATATTAAAAAAAGACTTTGAAGACTTTGACAAAATGTACTATTTTTACATAGAAATATATTCATTCAAAAAAGATTCCATGTTGACGAAAGATTAAAGAAACACCACTCATGAGAGGAATGTAAAAGGACTCACTTCAAGGGATCAACCCGAGCGATTTTGAATTCACCCACAAGTTTACGAAATCAATCACAAGCCCGAGAAGCAGGATGTCATCGCAGTCATCAAGTCAACAAGCTTCCCTAGCATCTGAAAGAAGACACCGAGAGAGGAGGCTCTATGAAGCATCGCTCGCCGGGTGTGTCGAGTCGTTGGCTCATTTGCTGCAGGAAGACCGACTCATCCTGGCTCGGACTTCGGTCACTTGCTTCGATGAGACACCGTTGCATTTGGCCTGCATGCTCGGTCATGTACACTTTGCCAAGGCTCTTTTGGCTCATAAACAGGACTTGACTATGGAGTTGGACTCGCAGGTAAATTAAAAGACCTTGTTGTGTTTGTTTGATATCCTTTTCTCAGATCAAATTGAACCCAGTTATCCTCTCAAACCAGATAATCAACGGAATCACAGCTGTTTTGGTTCGGGTTTTACAACTTTCAGGCTTTTAGCCATGTTTAACGTGAACTGTTAACTATACTTCGATGGCTTGTGGCTATAGAGATCAGACAAATAATTTATTGCTTGTCTAATAAGATTTAGTACCTGTAACGTAGTATTTTGTTTTCCAGTTTTCATGATCTGTGGGAAATCAATCCAAACATAAATCGTATGGAATTAAGAATATTCAGACAGAAATCAAACCATAGATTTCCTGGTTAATTCAGCCTGAATAATCTTAAGGACACGCGGGGTATATGTGATTTGAAAGTGCGATATCTATAAATCATTTGAACATGAAAATTTTCCATTCAAGGTGTCCTTCATTAAGAATGCTCCCTAGCCAAACACTTTACTTTTGCAGGGACGTACGCCTCTTCACTTGGCATCTGCGAATGGGTACGTGGAAATAGCGAGGGAACTGTCACAATCAGACCCCGTCGCATGCCTTGTCCTCGATGAAGATGGGAGGACCCCACTTCATCTAGCGGTGATGAAGGGCCGAAGTGACGTCGTGAGAGAGCTGGTCAAGGCAAGACCGGAGGCAGCCATATGCAGGCTGAGCCACGGCCAAACCGTCCTCCATCTGGGAGCGAGGCATAATCGTTTGGAGACTCTGAAAGTTTTGGTGGAGATGGTGAGAGATGGTGATTTGTTGAATGCTCAAGATGACGAGGGTAATACAATTTTGCATTTGGCCACTGCAAACAAGCAAATAGAGGTACTCTTTTTGCTTCGAATTGCTTACAAATTGTCATGACCACAGACATTGGACTCCAATTGAACATTTTGTGTAGATAAATTTTGGCTCATTCTCATTTTTGTGTGGACTTAAGGTTTCTGCATGAAAATATACTGATTGAAGACAATTGTAAGAAATATCTCTGTTTCTTATTTCTTTTACCATCGATAAGAATGCTCGTATTTTGTGCAGACCATGAAATATCTGCTTCAAAGAAGTGAAGTGGAAGTGAACACAGTGAATAGAAATGGCTTCACTGCTCTGGACATAGTGGATCACTTTCCAAGGGACCTCAAAGTAATGGAATTGAGAGAATTGCTGGTGCATGCTGGAGCTGTAAGAGCCACAATATTCCCTGCATCAACAACTCACCAAGCAGTTGATGGTACAGATGAGAAAAATTCAACTGTTGACATTGAACTCGCATCTTTAGCACTTCCCTCCGCCAATACTCCTCCGGTGAAGGCGGTGCTGGCACGGTCTTTGACAGGTGAAATCAGGAAGCAGAAGGAAGACACCCACGAGAAATGGATCAAGAAGAAGCGCGATTCTCTGATGGTAATGCTTTGTATAGATATGTTAAAGTAGCATTTGCTGGTGATTGTTAGAAGTGTGTGGTAACTTTTCGGGAAAATTACCAAAAAAGTCAAAAACCTATTGCAATTGTGCCAATTCAGTCCTAAACCTTTTTTTTTTGCCAATTCAGTCCTAAATATTTTGCAATTGTGCCAATTCAGTCCATCCGGCCACTTTTGGCTGGCCAGCACTGATGTGGTAATTTTTTAATATTTTTTTTATTTTTTTGACATTTTTTCTCTCTTTCTTTTTTTTTTTCCTATCTTCTTCCCCGGTCGCCAGTCCGGTGACCGGCCAGAGGCTGAGACTGGCGAGGTGGAACTCTCCGGCCATGGCGAGGCTGGCCCTTGCCGGCACTAGTAAGGCCACCCAGACCTAGTAAGACCTCGCCCTAGCGACGGCGAGGTCTCGCCAGATCCACCCTCGCTGTTGCTAGGCGAGGTCGAGCTCGCCCGGTTATGGCGAGGCTTGACCTTGCCCACTGACGGCGAGGTCTCGCCAGATCCACCCTCGCCGTCGTTGGGCGAGGACGAGCTCGCCCGGCCATGGCGAGGCTCAACCTCGCCCATGGTCAGCGAGTTCCACCTCGCTGGCCTCAACCGTTGGCCGGTCGCTGTTCGGCGGACCGACGACTGGAGAAGAAGATAGGAAAAAAAAAATAAAGAGAGAAAAAAAAGTATAAAAAAAAGCGAAAAAAAAAATATTTAAAAATTACCACGTCAGTGTCGGCCGGACGGTCGGCACCGGCCAGCGTCCACGTCAGCGCCGGCCGGCCAAAAGTGGCCGGATGGACTGAATTGACACAATTGCAAAAGATTTAGGACTAAATTGGCCCAAAAAAAAAGGTTTAGGACTGAATTGGCACAATTGTTATAGGTTTAAAGACTTTTTTGGTAATTTTCCCCAACTTTTCACAATGATTATGACTATATTTCACAAAGATTATAACTATATTTATCATCTTAGCTCATAACTGATTGATTTAAGTTTAAAATCGAATTTGAGTCTACACATCACGCGGGTAGCACGTGAGCGTGACTAGATGGTTTTGCATACAGAGAAAATGAATAGTTATCTACAATAGGTGGCATAACATAGAGAAAGTGAGGTAATTTGAGAAACTAGTGAAAGAGATATAAATTTATTGATTATAAGAAATGAAATGAAATGAAATGAAAGGTAATTTATATAATCTAAAAGTGATGAAACAGTTTGGTGTTTTCCTGTGAACATCTGTAATGTCATATAAAGTAAATAAGATTTTTAAACGTCACAACCTTTTGTTTTTCTCAAAATCTTCAATTACTTATTTTACATATACTTATCCATGGATAAATATGTAAATCAGTCAGTGAGCTTTACTTTTCACACTTTTCATTATGAAGATTTAAATTGTTTCTATCTTATAACAATCTTCTCGAGAAAAGTTCAAATTATGGAATATTTTTAAATTTTCACGTACATATATATTTTAGGGACAAGTGCACTACAAGTCCTAAAACTTATCACAAAAGTGCATTTGAGTCTAAAACTTGCAAAAAGTTCATTTGAGTTCTAAAACTTGTCAAAATGGTTCATTTGAGTCCTAAAGTTAACACAGTTAGATTTACTAACGAAAAACGCTGACGTGGCGCTGACGTGTCATTTTTAATTATTTTTCTTGAGACACGTGGTGCCACGTCGGCAAAAATAAAAATAAAAATAGAAAAAGCTGTAAAAAAAAAAAAAAAAAAAAAAAAAAAACGAGCCGGGGTGGCCGTCGCCACGCCACGGAAGGACCGGCGGAGGTCGCCGGGCCTTCCCGAAGCCCGGCGACCCTCGCCGGCCCGGCGAGTCCCAGCGAGGCCGGCGACCCTCGCTCGGATCTAGGGCGAGGTCGCGCCTCCCCAGATCGAGGTCGCCGGCCCTCGCTGGGACTCGCACGGGGCCGGCGGAGGTCGCTGGGCCTTCCCGAAGCCCGGCGACCCTCGCCGGCCCCGGGCGAGTCCCCGGCAAGGGCCGGCGACCTCCGCCGGTCCTTCCCGGTGGCTGTGGTGGCGGCCACCAGCGGTGGCCGCCGGGCTTTGCCACCGCCAGTTCTGTTTTTTTTTTTTCTTTTTTTGGTTTTTTTTTGTTTTTTTACAACTTTTTCTATTTTTATTTTTATTTTTGCTGACGTGGCACCACGTGTCTCAAGAAAAATAATTAAAAATGACACGTCAGCGTTTTCCGTTAGTAAATCTAACGGTGTTAACTTTAGGACTCAAATGAATCATTTTGACAAGTTTTAGGACTCAAATGAACTTTTTGCAAGTTTTAGGACTCAAATACACTTTTGTGACAAGTTTTAGGACTTGTAGTGCACTTATCCCTATATTTTATTATGTCTCTTCTTTGTGTAATCAAACAACAATTTCTTTACATTAAAGTTTTCTAACGAGGTAGTTTTGCTTAATTTTTTGTATGTCAATTCGGTGCATACACATAACGCGTGTATATATTTGCTAGTATAGATATAAATGCACTATTATTTCTGAAGAGAGCTCACTACAATTTTCTTGCATTTATATAATATAAATGAAAAGCAATCAATTGAATTTATGTATTCGTTGGAATGACTGATTTTAATTCAATGATCTTCATATATACAAATATGAGTGAAACACTATTTCTTAAAAAGAGGTCACCCCAGATTTCATCACCACGCCTAATGTCACTATTTGTTGTGTATCTCACTATATTCATGTAAATATTAGACGTAACAAAGCAACATTCACAGAAAAAGTTTAGTAAATGAAGGGGAAAGTTAGAAAATTAAGGGGACACGTGTTGCTCTTGGAGTACCACTTTTCTAGTGAAAAATCATCATAAAGTTTTGGTAATCCGTTGGGATTTGCGGTTCTCCTTGCAAACTTTTCAGCAAGTGGAAATCTTCAAAGTTTTCTTGTTGTCGATACAAGATAATACATTGCCAAAGTATTTCTTCATTCACAATCTAAACTTACCTTTCGCATCATGACAGATAGCTGCGACGGTGATCGCAGCCATGGCTTACCAAGCTGGCCTTAGCCCTCCCGGCGGCGTGTGGGACGAAGATAAAAATATAGGCGGCGTCACATACTGGGCAGGAACATCGATAATGGCCGCAAACAATCCATACGGTTACCAAAAGTTCTGGACATACAACACAGTCTCCTTGGTTGCATCTCTTAGCACAGTCTTCTTGCTCGTAAGTGGCTTGCCCTTAAAGAAGAAGATCTTAGTGTGGATTCTGATGGCCACATCGTGGGCGACCATCACATTCATGGCACTCACTTACCTTGAGTCCATGAGGGCCATCTCATTTCTCCAGGACCGGCATCCTGAAGAGCTGAGGCCAATCATAAAAGTGGTTGGCAACGCCATGTATGTTTGGCTCGGCGTTTTATCGGGTGTTCTGCTAGTTCACACCGTTCGGTTCCTCAGGATTGTCCTCCGGATTGTGAAAAATCCGCAAGAGCTCAAAGAAAAGATATCAGGGTTTCTGAGTCGGTGCAGATCTAGGACCTTTTATAAGATCTAGTGTATTTATATGGTGGGATAAAGTATTACTACATAGTTTCGATACCTGTATTCTATAAAACTTAATCCCTACGTCATAATGTCATTCGAGTACCACTAGTTATGTGAAACATTTAATGAGACTACTAAACCAAACTTATCGTTCTTGAGCCTCCTCATTCGGAATATCTAGCACACGTAGCCGAATCTTTCTAAAGAGAATGGGAAGGCCTGGCTGCGAAGTAACTTGATTTATTCCTTCCGTATATACTGGGAATTAGTAGGTAAATGCAAGATTGGGAGCTCCTTTTTTTTTTCTTACTATCAGAATTGTCAGATAAGTCTTCCTTCAAGGTTCTAATCTCAGTCTGACCTGATGCTACTAGTATAGGTTGAGCAATTCTACGATTAAGCCCACGCAGCTTCACGTCTCTTTCCAAATACACCAACCAACCAAACCCACCTACCTCAAAAGCATCAACATTTCTTTTCTGTTTCCTTTATATTCTTCTCCCATGTTGATGGATGTCCAAAAGCCATGTAATCAAAGCTAGTGAGCCTCTGTGTCTAATCGATTTTCAACCCCATGGCACCAAGGAAAATGCAGTGACCACATCCATATGAACTTCCTACACTATCTTTACCTGCTTCATCTTAATGAAGTGATACAGACTTCACAGAACACACTCGTTCTTGTCCGCAGGCCGTGCAAACCTATCCTCAAGCTTCGGAATCGAAGCAGCATTGGTTTCATATGTTATGTTCGCATACCAGATTCCCTAACGTGTGCTTCTTCTAAAACAACAAAAAAGGTCTGATTTAATAACCGCTGGCCAAAGGATCTTTTTTTCTTTATATAGACAAGTAGAGGAGGGAGAAGGTAGAAATGGAACCTAAAATCTCATGGACTGATCTGTTGTTCCTAATCACAAGACAAAGGAATGGTAACATGTCATCCCAAAGAAAACACAAAAATTTACTGTTCATATGCAAACTGATTACAGACGATGGAAAGAACAGAGAGATGAAAACATTCGCAAAAACAGATCTTCTGTACCTTAGACTGGTGATAATCAGTCCATAACAATTGGAAGGTCAGAGAGTTCTCACAGGCAGAAGCCAGCATTCCCATCTGTCTTAGACAACCACAATGTGTGGTTTCGATCAGCTAGCCCATAACTAATGCAGCTCATCAACTTCACTCAACCCATCTTGGCAAACCAAATCTCTGATGGCCCAAGCATTCGGGGAGGTCGCGACAATTTCGCACCCTCAACTTAACGCAGCCTGATGGTTTCGTTTGGGAGAATAATATTGGGGTTGCGTATGTGTGGGTTAAGAGTCGCCAATTCCTTCCATTTAGCACCTGTTCCATGAACACGGGATGAGATGCTCCACAATGTGTCACCAGGTTGTGCCTTAGTTGTTGCTGGAGCAGTAGATTTAGAAGAAGCAATCTTTGACTTCAGAAACGGATGCTTATTGCTCTTTCCCATTCCATTAGCGGCCAACCAACGGGAACCAGATTGTTGCTGGTTTGTGCTTCCCCAGAGCTTTCTCTTCCCAGGATCAGTCTTGAGACCAGCAACATGGACTTCAGTAATCTTATACTGGGGAATTTCTTCCACCTCAGGTTTCGTTTCTTCTGTCCCCTCCTTAATTTCTTCCTTCTTTTTGGACTCAGACTCATCCTCTTCATCGTCATTTTTTAATTCGGAAACCTTGAGGTATATCCTTGGCTTTGGTGGAACGAACACTCTCTCGACCTGAATCAGCGCAAGCATTGGTGCACCGACTGGTTCATAATTCCGCAAAGGATCCCGTAGTTGCACCATCAATGCAACTGTGAAATTATTCCCCAAAAGACCACACTTCCTACCAGAGCCCTTGCCCCGCCTTCTCTCCCCCTTTGACCCTCCACGCATCCAGTCCAAGGAGTTGGCATGATGCGCGGCAAGAATTTTAGAAGTTCGCTCACTAATTTGATCTCCGTCATCAAGTTCACCAGAGTCCAACCTCATCCATTCATCAAGACTTAGGGATAGGCTCATCAACCCTTCATCTTTGTCGTCGCTACTTTCCTTTATATCCAACAGCTGCAATCCACCAGTTCCCTCCAGACCCAGCGACCCACTGATATCCACACCCTTGCCCTGTAGAGTCGAGACGTCTCCAATTGATTGTGCACTGATATTTGAAGGTGCATCCTCGTCTGACATGCCAGAGTGTATCCTCAACCCCTCAATTGACAGTGCTTCAATCTTATCCATAGCCAAAGGAGCCAGATCCTCTAAAGATACATACTCAGAGCCAACATCTTTGCCAGCTGCATTTTGACCATACTTACTAGCCCTAGAATTGAATGATGCTTCTGTGTTTCTGATTTGTCGGCAAGTCAAATCTTGCTCCTTTGCTAAACTGTCATTCAAAAGACATTGCCTGCACCAAGGAAGAAATTTTGTAGAATTAATATCTTTTACAAAAACTATAAAAGACAAGATGTTCAAAAAAGCTGTCACAAACCTTTCAACTCCTTCAAGAGAAGGTGAGGCTTCCCATGCGACTTGTTGCATTGTCTTTCCAGTTACATCTTCCAAGGGCATTAGCTTGTTCGCCTGCATGGAGAGCTTTTCAATTCCAACAGAAGCCAGACCCTGCAATATTTCCATTATACTAGAGCCCATTTCCGCGGGTACTACAACTGGACTAGAAGCTTGCATAACCAAGCTCCCGCCGCTTTTGGCATTCCTGAAAAGTGAGGGATTCATTGACCGCAAAAAGCCTCCATTTTTCGTCTGGAGATACGGCCCTAACCCCTCTCCAAGAGGCAGTAGCTCCAGGAATTCTTCAGGAGGAAGATGAATTGGACTGCCAAACCCACCAGAGTGGCTAGGTGGAGAAGACTGAAAGGACTTTTCATTCAAACCCCACTCACGCATCAAAGCTTCTGTCTCAAGGTCTTCCAACATTTTTGCTTTTGTTTTGTTAGCATGGTTTGCCACCTGATGCTCCTCTTCGGCAGCTTGAATTAGCGACTGAAGTTCAAAATCCTCAGATATATTCCCCCCGCCTGGCACATTAGCAGCGTCATTGCCTTGTTCAGCAAAGTCCTCATCGCCTACGTCAAACCCAAATAAGGAACAACCACCACCAGCTAGAGCTTCCCTCTCAAACTGCCTCAAAAGACGCTCTCTTGGAGATTCTGGCTCACTTTCTGAACTCAAGCCAAAAGGGCTGTGCTCTATTCCCAACATATCCAAGAATTCACAGGCCACGGAATCAGCAACATCATCGAAGCTAAGTGACCTCCCCTTTCTGTTCATTTTATAATTCGCTTTAGTGTCAAGGTTATCCTCTTGATCTTCAGGAGAATCCAGCGCAGCCACTTCTAAATCTGACACGTTATTCAAAGCCGACTCTAGTTCTTTCATTAGTGATTCTTTGCTACCCAACTCATCCACTTTGGTATGGCAGTCACGAATAACAACTTCATCTTTACAACTTCCCATTTCCTCAGCCCTAGAGGAAGCTTCAGCGTCCCCCTCAATAGGCAAAGTTAAATTGGAATTAACTTCAGGCACACCATGACTGTCTGCGGTAGAAACATCGGCTTCCTTTGTGATAGCTTCCTCGGATATCGCCTGCCCTTTTGAGGATAGTTCTACACCCTGCTCAATTACAGAAAATTCATTCACCTCACACTCGTTTTCACCATCTTGTTTAGCTTTGTCAGACATATACTGAGAAGCTGTTTTAACAGGTTCATTTTCTTCTGTGAAAACATCGAACTCAGGTTTGTAGTCGACCTTAAAATCTGACTTCTCCTCATCGAACTTATGGTATAGTGTATCAACTGAACTTGCAAGCTCCGACTTGGATACTGGCAAAACCTCATGTAGGTCTTTTATATCCTCCACATAGCGAGACGGCACATCAGATGGTTGATTAGACTGACTAGGAAGACTTTCACTGCGCCGTATAGCATTCCCACCATTGCCTCTACCAGATCTCGCAGCCAGCTTCGAATTGTTCTCATTCAGGCTCAAAACCTCAGGAACATTCCACCTAACCCCGTGTGCACTTGCACTGTCCCCAATCACCGCATACCCAAAACTAACATTCAGTGAAGCTCCTTTAGCCTTTCCTGATAATTTGTAACTCGTAGTCCATTTGCCCGAACTCTTGTCCTCCTCCAGCTCTTCCAAAGTAAGAGGCAGCAACCTCGTGAGGTCAACACGGTGTTTTCCCAAATCAAGTTCAGGAGAACCATGAACAGCTGCATAAAGCAAGAAATGCTTAGCCTCATACTTTGCTGAATGATGGGGTCCACTCCTGCTGCCATAAACCCAACAAGTATGCATCAAGTTCTCCCCAAATTCAGCTATTCCCTGAAAAACCTTCGCAGGCCGAGTCACCAAACCACCATCTCGCCTCTTCCAGTGCACACACAGGTTAAGGTCATCGAAACTCGAGGGCAAGCCCTCAACGGAATGGACTAGAAGGGTAAAACAACAGTTGAACCTCCGGTTCCGGATGTGAGAAAAGGCTTTGAAACCCTTCCAATTCCAAATGGACTTCTTTTCCTTCTGTGTCTGGTCTTCATTGCCATGCTTGACCTTCGATTTGGGATCGGGCAAAGGGGTTTTGCCCACAGACTTGGATCTACTACTGGCTGCAGAAATCAAACTCCCCGAATGGTTCTTGTCCAAATAAAGGGCTTTGCTTATAGCTTCGATCTCCTGCAACAACTTCCCGCTACTCGAATCCGGATCAATCTTCTTTCCAGCTTCAGTTTTAGACAACATCATCTTCTCGCAAAACAAACACATCGAGATCAGGCGAATCACCAAATCGACCAAAACCCACAATCCAGAATCCATCTCAAACTAAGAAAAACCTCGGACAACTCCAAAAACTCTCCCTAGGTTCTCTCTCTCCCAAATGATAACAGCCGATGCAACAAATTGAACCCAATTACGGCATCAAAGAGGAAGAAACTCCACATGCGCCTCAACTCAGAGTATACCCACATCGAACTAAATACGAAAAATCATTTGGGACTCGAACCTGATTATCAAATGAAGACCCAGTAGACAAAAAGACGGCTTTCCTATCAATTTCCCCACGTTACGTCCCCCCCTTTTTCATTTCAAAAA